TGTTTCAAATTCCACTGGTTGAGAATTTGGCACTGATCATGTTAAGATAGCAGCAATTGCAAGTCCAGGATGATTTTTCTGTGCATACTTTGCAACGATTAAGCTGAGCTTCTGCAAAGACATGCATGGACATACAACCCATCTTGTTAATCAAATGCCCGTGTTTTCAAGTTGTGAAATTCAATGGTTTCAGGCACTGATCCACACCGGTTTACACCGTTTTCAAAAATCAGTAAGATTTTTCATGATTACATACATTGCACATACATTGTAAATGAAACAAACTTTCCAAGTTAAAATCGGGCCAATATCCGGTCTGCATGACTTAAAAACCCAAGAAAGGTGACTTAAGGGAGTTACAATCCCAAAAACTTCATGCTGGTGCATGCCCCCGGATACCTCTATAAGCTTGCACATTCAGTGCTCGTTTAGGAAATTGGTCAGTGTCTATCCTTGATCTGCGCCAGGGCATCACTTCTAGCTTGAAGGTGTATAGGTCAAGTGCCCACAGCTGATAATTTAGCCCGCCTTGTCTCCCTCTTTAGTTCTAAATTAATGCCTGTCAAACTAGCCCCTCAGGCAACTCAGGATGGCAAAAAATATGACAAGTGATTAACTGACATTTCACTTGAACTGTTATTGAAACTGTTTAAGTTCAAATCTTTATTTGGAGTAAACTGCAGCCACCGTAATGCTCTTCTGTATTTCTTCTATTGAGTACAAAAGATTGATGCGAAGATTTCACTGAGAACACCTGCCATGCGAAAAATCTGTCTGTGATGATCGATAGTGGATGATAGCTGAATTTATTAGCGACCATTATGAACTTTCATGACATTTGGCCCCGGTAATGCCTGATTTCTGCCACTTTTCTGAATCTGCTCTTTGACGCAACTGGTAATCAAGCTTACCAGGGATGGAAATATGCTAACTTGGAAGTCACTTACCTTCTCTTATCCCATTTCCATTTCTGTGTATTTGGGAAAAATCATCTTTGACTGACACAAACCTGCACATTAGATTTGAGAATGAAAGGAAAAATTAAAATTTTAAACGCACTCAGATAACAGCAATTCATAAATTCCAGCTATGTGCAGCAAAAACTATTGTATTTACAGTACAAACAAAGGTTCTTGTTTCCCAGTAGGTTAATTTCAGGGAGTAAAGTTTAGGCTAAGAAGTGGTCATCCCTTACCCCGAATGAGAAGAAAATATGCAAATAATATACATTCTCCGTTCTCTCATAAGTTGTAAACATATCAGCTGACTGCTTCTCGTATAATGATCTCAAGCTTGCAGTTGAATCATCCAGTGACAACTCAAGCAACGAAAATCTGCTTCTAGTCTACAACAATTCATTGTCTCGAGTAAAAAACAAGTAATCTTCACTAGAACCGTTTAAAATACTGCCCCACGTAAAAAATGTTTAAAAAAACTAGCCTTCTGTGGTCTTTTGAGGTGGTTGAATTTTGTCTCGTCTTTCCAGCAGCTGTCCGCCATTTTGAACATTCGTTCCAGTCTTACTCGACACGCGGTGAGACACCGCCTTCACCGCCCTGAGGGAACTGAGGGTTGCCCCCACTCACGTGCTCAAGAAGAGTCCAAACAAACAATTCAAGTTTATACTATCAGCTCACGGAAAAAAGGCTAACTCCCGGGATCTCTTCAGTGTTTGCTACAGAACGTACAAATATATTTTGGGGTTCTACATGCGAGGGTATTTAACAAACAAATTCCAAAACTCACAGTAACAACGGCAAGTTGAATTGTTAAAAAAAGAGGCCACGGCAGACCGATAAATCTCTATCGGTCTCTCCAGCTATCTATACCTCTATCGCTTTTTCTTGTGTTTCCCTAATACTTATTCGTTAGATGGTGAATTATCTGATGGATAAAGCTATAAGTCTCTTGAAACAACCAGGCCCTGGTTAAGAAATTTGCTGTTGTTGGATAGAGAATTAAATTAAACGAACTCGGGTGCCGCTTGAATAAAATAATAGACGACTATCTAGTCTTCTGACTTTATCTGTGAAAATTTTCTTAAAATTTAAATGTCCTAGCCCCTTTAAATCTTATGAATATGANAAATCTCTATCGGTCTCTCCAGCTATCTATACCTCTATCGCTTTTTCTTGTGTTTCCCTAATACTTATTCGTTAGATGGTGAATTATCTGATGGATAAAGCTATAAGTCTCTTGAAACAACCAGGCCCTGGTTAAGAAATTTGCTGTTGTTGGATAGAGAATTAAATTAAACGAACTCGGGTGCCGCTTGAATAAAATAATAGACGACTATCTAGTCTTCTGACTTTATCTGTGAAAATTTTCTTAAAATTTAAATGTCCTAGCCCCTTTAAATCTTATGAATATGAATTCTATCTGTTAAACCATCTGAAAAACAAGGCATTCAAACATGGAGATTCGTCTCCTTTTTACAAAACAGGTTAAAGGCCGACGCAGTCATTAATTCTGCAAAAACCGCCCGATAACTGAACTCGAAGATTTTTAAAATTCACAAAAAAAAAAATACAAAATACACCTCAGCATTATCTGCTCATCCTGAATAAGCTAAACCCTAAAACTGACCACAAGCTTAATCATTTCAAAGACATGACAGTGACATGACAGTTTATAAAAAAAAATAAAAGCTAATGTGCGGTAATTATGTTTTATGATGGTGAGAAATCAAACGAACTTTTAACTTGGCCCCAAGAGCTATTCTCTCCGCTAGCTTCATAGGAAATCCCTTTTTGTACTCATATCAACATTTATCGCGTATGCTGGAAACAACTTGCATTTGTAACTTTAGTACCTACTGCAATGAGGAAGGTTTTAGCAGCGGAGTGAATGTACCTTGTTGCTGTTCCGTGTGGCTAAAATCGTCCCACTATTCCAATGAAAAGTTTCCAGAAGTCTCGTTTCGCGAATTTCGCCTTCCTCCACATTTGAAATGTCATGGAAGGTTTCTTTCCATTTCTAACCACTGTAAAATGAACTTTGTTTGCCTCATAGAAAACTAGAAGATGGCGCTCAACTTTGTCTTGGTTAGCCATGTTGGTTGCTCGACGTAAAACATGTTTAAAAATTGAATATTCATTTCGTTGGCATACAAACAATCAGCGTTATATTTTTCTGCATTCCATCGTGCTCGATTGTGCCTCCAGCTTTAATTAAAGATGCAAATTAGCCTATTTATTACATCCACTTTGAAATCACTGGCTAACCGTGCAATCTGATTGGCTCTCAGCAGTGTGATTTATTCCTAAATTGCACCATTTTTTGCTCTAAATCGCATCTATTCCAAATCGCGTCATTCATGTTCTAAATCGCATCATTTCTGTTTTAAATCGCACCATTTTTGTTCTATATCGCATCATTTCTGTTTCGAATACAAAATGAGATGTAAAAGCCTTTTTGT